GCACCACCCCCCCCGCTTCCTCTGCTCGGGTGCTCCTCCGGCCTGACTTCCCCTTTCTCCCACCTTTCCCGGCACCGCGGGAAAAGCAGCGCAGGGCAGAGCAGGCAGGGAGGGCGGCCGGAGCCCGGACACGGGAGCCTCCCAGTCAGTTCAAGACCCGACATGAGGGAGAAGGGCCGTAGGAAGAAGGGCAGGACCTGGGCGGAGGCCGCCAAGACGGTAAGGGGGAGGGAGCGAAGGGGAAGGCCGGGCGGATTTGGTCCCCTCGCCGACCTCCGGAGGCAGGGGAAGGGAGGTCATTGGCCCAGCGACCCGGCGGAGGGGGGCACAAAACCGCGCCGGGAGGCGGCGGCGGTTCGTGTCGGGCTGTGATCCCCGTGGGCATGGAGGCGCCCCGCGGACAAGGGTCGCCGCGGCGCGGTGCTGTGCCCCGCGACTGCGATGAGTCCTCGGCGTGTTGGGAAGCTTGCCCCTCGGGGTCGCGTCGCTCTCGGCCCCGATCCGTGGTCGCCCCCGCCCCGGCGCCGGGGAGCCTGTTGTGCTTGCACAGCAGCCGGTTCCCCTCCCCGGTGCGGCGGAGGATCCCCCATTGGATGCGACGCGGGGAGGCTCGTGCGTGCACCCAGCCCCGGGGAGAAGCGGGGAGCACAGAGCTGGGTCGAGGTCCCCCCGCAGGAACGGACACGGCGCCGCACCTCGGGCTCCCTGCTCCTCGGGGCGCCCGGACCCAACGCGGGGTCACGGGACGCCCGTTTTTGTTTGCTGTGGGAGCTGAAAGTGCAGGAGGTGTTTAGACACCAAGTAACAGGTGGGACTTGTAGAATTTTTTTTTTTTTCTGTTTCCGTAGAGACCTACTCTGAACAAGGCAGCAATGCATGGCGGGACGTGTAGTTTGCCCGGCCTTGACTTTTCCGTAGTTAAAGTGATGGTGGTGGCCTCACGAAGTTGTACTTAGGGGGTAAAACCATCTTTTTTTTTTTTTTCCTTTTTTTCTCTTTCTAAATTTGCTATAACGAGATTTAGAGGTAGGTTTGTTTTTTTTTTAAATAGGACTGTTTAGGATTAGTGAGAACTTTTATGTTTTATGAAAAAAATTTAAAGTGTGTGTATACGTGTGGAAGTGAGGATGTAGCAGGAAAGTAACAGGACCTGAAACAGCCTGTTAGCGCTGGGAAGTGAGAAGGTGTGGGGGCAATGGTGGATCCTGTCGGTAATACTTGAACAACGTGGGGAACCCTTCTCAGTGATCTTTTATTATGTGATTGGTTTCTTTTTGAATGAGATGTTTCGGGATAGAAAAGTAATAAATGTTCACTCTGGGAAATTTGTGAAGATTATAGTAACCTATAAAGAAGGAAATTTTAAAAAATCACCTATTTCACCCCTCGGCTATATCTGTTAACATTTTGGTATATATTAGGGGGTTGATGAGTCTTACACTGTTTCAGCTGGACATGTGAAAAAGTAAATAAAAGCCCATTTTATTTATTGAGTGTTTTTACATACAGTTCGCCTTCATAATTGTGACTGCTGGTAGTTACCCTCTAAAAGATTTAAAACATTCTATAGACATGATTTTCTTGGTCTGGAAATTGCCCCTTCGCAGAAGACTGTTATACTTTTTTCTACTTGATGAATACCTCAAGACCTCTTCCTTTTATTAAAAGGAGGACGGTAAATTTTAATTGTAAACTTTAACTTCCCTGTAAGCAGACCCTCACCCTAGTTATGTTAATTAATTTTGTCTCTAGAATCTTAGTATTTTTTAAAGTATTATTTCTTTGGATGAAATAGTCTAATCATTGGGAGATTTGTGACAAATAGGGAAAATTTGTTTACATCTGTTTATATTTACCTGTAATGAATTAGTATGTTTGTTTATAACTAGAAGCCTGGTGCACGAAATTAGTGCACTTGGGGGAGGGGTTCCTCAGCCCGGGAGCATTTGGGGGGATGTCCGACTGCCGGCTTAGGCCCACTCCCTGTGGTGAGTGGGCCTAAGCTGGCAGTTGGATAGCCTTAGCGCTGCCACGGAGGTGGGAGAGGCTCCTGTCACCCCCGCTGTGCTCACCAGCTGTGATTCCGGCCCAGGGCTTCTGGCTGAGTGGTGCTCCCTCTGTGGGAGCGCACTGACCACCAGGGGGAAGCTCCTACATTGAGCGTCTGCCCCCTGGTGGTCAGTGCATGTCATAGGAACCAGTA